TTCTCAATTCTATTGTTAATTCAGTTATGAATTGTGAGTAGTTTTAATTAGGGATTTGAGATTGATGAAAGGGTTATTCATGATGTATGGTTTGGTTCTTGATGGTTTGACTTGCATGAATCTTTATTTAATTTGTGTATGAATGATTTAATTGATATCTCTTGTAACCTAGAACGGCCGCTAGGATTATAATTGCATGTAGAATAAATTAAGAGAGATCTAATTTTAATTTCTATTTTTAAGGATTTTGGCCCGACTTTGTCATTGGCTGATAATTTTGCCTGCTTCATGTGAGCATGTGATATGTTTTTCTCCTAACAATGTCTAGATGTTGTGTGTTTCTAATTGGTGTAATCGGTCTAGTGAATTTTCGTTGTTCATGGTTGGTAAAGCTTTTTCAATGTTGTTGTTCTGATGCTTCAATTACTAGTCAGCCACCTGACCCACCATTGGGAAGAAAAAAATGCTCAATTGGATCTCTTTTTCGGTGGTTGGTCAAACTGATGATTCAGAAAATTTTCTGTTAGATTGATTTTTGTTTGTTGATTGCTAGTCAAACCAATTTTCCCTTTTCGGTAGCTGGTAAAGCCAAATCTTTTAGTTGTAATTTTTTATTTTCTCTTTGGAGTAGCAGGAAGAGCATTAAGGCTGTTAGACTAGACTACATTATTGCGGGGTTAGCGATTTGGAAGATTCATTAGATTTTTCCGTTCTGTCTCATCCTATTATAATCTTAGACTATTCATTTTCTTGTATCTTTGCTATATTTAATAATAAATTAGTTATTTGATTTAAAACAAAAATCAGGCAAAAATAGAGGATTTGGCCTCCCAGAGGCAGGAAGTGATTGACTGTTTGGCTCAAGCTTGTGGAGGGATGAAGATGGAGGAAGAAGAGGAAGTCAGGGGCAACCACCGGATCTATGATCTATTGGGGCGTTATTGGTTCGCCCCCCTCCTAAACCGCCGCCGCCAGAGAAGGAACGAGCGGTTAGGTTTTGGACGCTTCTTTTGGTTATTTTTACTGTTTTCTTTTGTTATTTTATCATTCAGTACTTCCAGGTTAATTTCTGCTTTGTGGACACTAGCCGTAGGTTCTTTGGTTGTCTTTTCATTACTCAAGTTAGGTCTGTGGGTGGAAGCGATAAGGCTTGTATTGCTGTTAAAAGCTTCGAAACTCTCACATGGTTAACGAGTAGTCTCGCTCTTTTTAGGGTGGTCTATTCAGTCTAGTCAGAGAGTGGGAGGGCCGTTTGGTTATGCGGAGCCTCATAGGGAGGTTTGGCGTTTTCGTGATTGTGAGATTGCTGTCATCATTGATTGATTTAATATAATTAGTTTTCCTATAAAAAATCATTACTTAACCTTTAAAAGCCAACCTCCAACATCATAGCTTTTTAACCTCGGATCACCGATTAAGACATTAAATTTGTTTAAAATAATTTGAAAATATTCACCTGAATCAACTTAAATTTATGTAAACTTTCGCTATATTCACAAGATTATCCAATTGCTTGCACCCACAAGTTTTTGATATATTCACTTGAATTCATCTAACAATTTTCTAATTACCAAAACAAATGTATTAAGAAAAAATTGCTCAATGTGGAAATAAAACACAACATTTCTAAAAAATAAGATCATATATTCGATTCTCTTAAATAGGACTAAACATCACATTTATATCTCTAATTAGTTAATTAATATAATTTATTACCCACTAGTTCTCTTGAATTGTCAAGATTGTCAGTCCAACGATGGCGGCGAGATACTCCAACGGCTGTATCCGGCGATTGAGACAGTGTTTGCAAAAAATTAAAAAAAAGTACTCTTCAGCACTTGGTTTAAAAAAGTTGAAAAGAGTGTTTTCAAATGACAACTTCTGCTTAAATTAAGCACTTAAAAGCTAAAAACTGCAAACATGTGTAAGGGTGCTTTAAACTGCTTTTCATTTTTTCTATAACACAAAAAACAATTATTATACTAAACAATATCAACATTTTACTTTTTCAGAAGCATTTTTTTGTCAAACACTATCAACTTTTACTACTAAGTACATTTTACAAAATCATTTCAAAAAATAACTTTTTTGAAGTAGAAGCAATCACAAACAAGACATCAATGTTTCAACTCCAATCATATGCGAGTAATTTTGTCTAATCATATTTATGCGATTTATTTGTGTGACTTGTGACAAAATTGTTTTGAAATGAATTTTAAGTTGGAAAAATTTACAAGAATAATCCCACATTTGTTCATTTTTCTTATAATAATCTCACATTTATTTACGTAATTTCAGAATAATTTCACCTTTGCACCCCATCTTTTTTCATTAGACTTCGACTGGTTGGTGATCAGCTATTGCATGGTTTTTGCATTCTTTTTTAAAAAACTTACATAAATAATTTCACCTTTCACAAATCTGCTCAAAAGAGTTTCATGCTTCGTTTTTTTTCTCCCTAATTTTTTTCTTTCTTTATTTTACCTCTAGACACTTTTCCCCCTTTTCATTGTTTTTTTCTTATTTATTTTCCATATTTATTACGTGGTATTCTATTTCTCACTCTATCAGGAGTGTTTTTTGTCAACTTTTTGTCCAACTAGATTATTTAGTCATTTTCTTTTTCTTCTTATATTTTATTTTTATTCCATTTTCCTTTTACGTGTTTCTCTTCTTAATCATTCTTTTTTGTTAAAGATCTTTTTCTCACTCTAGTGTTTGTTATATTTTCCTTTTATTTTTGTTTTTCCCCATTTTTCTTCTTGTTACATTTTTTTAATGTTTTTTCTTCTTTCTTCTAGCTATCTTAATATCAGCATTGATATATTTTTCTCTATTCTGCATTATTGTATTTTCCTAAGTAAGTCAACTCATTAATTTCATCAACTATGAGAAAAACTCTATGTGACAAAAATATTAGGGGAAAAATAATATTGAAAGGAAATTAAACATCCCAGAATATTTTAGAAAGAAAAAAAATTTTATTTTCCCGAATGATTAATTTTTCTTTACGTTTTCCGAATGTTTTATTATTTCTAAATTTTTTCTCTATTCATTTTATCATATGTAGTTTTTCTCACAATTGATGGAATCAATGGGTGGATTTACTTAAAAAAGTATGATTATGAAGGAAGGAGAAAAAAAATATTGATGGTTTTATTAAGATAACAAGAAAGATGAAGCAATATTTAAAAAAGTAACAAGAAGAAAAAAGGGGGATAGTGAAAATAAAAAGAAAAGAAAACAGAAAGTAGAGTGTCAAAAACATCTTTAACAAAAATAGAATGACTAAGAAGAAAACATTAAAAGGTAAAATATGGGAAGAAAAAGAAAATGACAAAAAAATGTTTTTGGGAAGAAAATTTTACAAAAAAACTCTCCTAATAGAGTGATATAGAATAATAAATTTGAAAAAAAACATGGAAAAAGGAATAAAAAAGTGTATAGATAAAACAAAGAAAGAAAAATTTTAGGAAGAAAAAAGAAAAAAATGAAATCTGGGATTATTTTAAATAGATTTGTGAAATGTAAGATTATTACTACGTATATGTTTTCCAAAAAATGTAAAAAAACTAATATAGTAAGTCACCAACAGATCAGGTCAAGATAAGGATTGACTCCCAAATCCAAATAGAAAAAACCCAATAGCCTAGAGTCGGAAGTTAGCGTTGATTCCCGTTCGGCCATTCCACATGCTGCAGTAGACGACGCTCACTGCAGCACCAAGGCCAACTTCGTCCTCTGACCTCGGCCTAGGCCAGCATAGCATGTCAACACTCCGGGTAGTCCAGCATCGGCTGCATCTCTCCTCTCTCAGTCCGCCAGCTCAGCAGTCGCACCACTCCGCCCACTCGCACGCCAAGTCTCGGCTACAACCTCCACGTAAGTTAATCTATTTGTTTATTTTAATTGATTTTCTTATATGTATAGATTATATTAGTAGATTATTTAATATTTATGCCTTGTGCCTCCAGCCTCCTATTCTCCTAATCTAATAGTCCGTATTATTTTTAACAAATTAGGTATTGGGGTTGTTTTTCTATTTTATTTTGTGTAATTGTTTGATGAATTAATTAAACTATTCTATTAATAAATACATTTGTTTTTGCTTCAATGTTAAGTTGAATTTTAGAGGACATTTGGCAACGTTGTTTTTCGGCTTATCAGGCTTATCAACCAACCTTTTCACCAAACACGTAACTTTTACTTTCGCGCGCAGAATTGTGTAATAAGCAGAAAAAGTAAGGTTGAAGTTACTTTTCTGGTTGTATTGGCTGAAGTTACTGTAAATGATCGTTTTAGCTATTTTACATATAATTTTTTCTTTATTTTATTAATAAAATATATTTCAAAAATAATTTTTCCTTAAATCAGCAGAATCAGCCAATGCAGCCATTTCAGCCATAACATCATAAATTTCAGCAAAATCAGCCAAATAAGCTGATTTTGGTGCTACCAAACGAGATCTTAAAGTGAGATTAGCAGAAATTTATGGTAATTTATTACTATTATCATTATTATTTGAGAAAAGGAGCAAATAAGTCAACGTACTAACTAAAAAAGGTCAAATAAGCCCTTATTTAGGAGGCTCTGTCCGGCCGTCGCCATTTGGGGCGGTTCCCGTTGAATTTTTTTGATGAAATTTTTTGAGCATCTTATTCATTAAGTCTAGTTCGATCATACCAAATTTCAGCTAAAACTTCAATCGGTAAAGCATTCAAATGAATTCTTGAAGATAACTGCGAAGTTAAAAGCGCAATTATCTTCAAGAACTCATTTGAATGCCTCCTCGATTGAATTGTTACCTGAAATTTGGTATGAGTAAACTAGACTTAATGAATAATATGTTCAAAAAATTTCATCAAAAAATTACACCAGAAATTCCCCCAAATGGCAACGGCCGAACAGTAACTCCTATATAAGGGCTTATTTGACATTCTTTTTGTTAGTGCAAGAGCTTATTTGCTCCTTTTCCCTTGTTGGATTGCACTGGGTCTATATATTTTGAGTATCCAATATAGTACTCCGGTCAATTTTTTTCTTTAGGTTTACGGCATAACAAAGCCCTTCTAGAAACCGCTTAAAATTAAGCGCGCAGCGGCAACTCAGTGAGCAATCGGAATCGGATACTGAGATGTCGAAAACGCTGGTGCAGCCGGTCGGCCAAAAACGGCTGACGAACGTCGCCGTCGTCCGTCTCAAAAAGCACGGAAATCGTTTCGAAATCGCATGCTACAAGAACAAAGTCCTCTCCTGGCGCTCCAACGTGTGAGTCTGCTTTCATTTCTCTGCCCCAACTCTCTCTCTATATCTATGCCAACTCACAATCGCGCATTTATTTGCTTATCCTTTTCAAATAGAGAGAAGGATGTTGATGAAGTCCTGCAATCGCACACTGTGTATTCCAATGTCTCCAAGGGAGTTCTAGCCAAATCCAAAGATTTGATTGCGGCTTTTGGGACTGATGATCAGGAAAAAGTCTGTTTGGAGGTCAGGAGACAATATTATACTTCTCGGCACCATGCTGATTGTCGAGGATTTTATGGTGAAACGTGATTTCTAATTAGTTCAAAATGAAATGACCACCATATACCTGAAACCTTAGATTCAATCAATGACTAGTTGTGAATAGCAAATCTATTCATCATTGATGATGTTTTTTGTGTGAAATAACTTAAGCTTGGAAAATATTGCACAAGTTGTGAATATAAATATATGCACTACGTGAATCATGTTTATTTAATCTACAGTTCTACACTATAGGGAGCTTGATTTAATAAAATAGTCTCCAAAACTTTGAATTTGGGGTGGACCAGAAACCAATTCATTCCTACAACTGTTGTATTTGAATAGTTACACATGCATAAAAAGGATTTTACTAAACTTGAGGTGGGCCATGGCCTGGGTTTGCCCCATTATCTACACCCATGGAAGCCTGGTTGTTTGTGGGAATTGAGATGCTTGAAGAAAAAGATTATTTAAATGCGTTCATGGGATGAAGGGTGTTTTTTGTTCTTCTAGATTTTGGAGAAAGGAGAGCTACAAGTCGCAGGGAAGGAGAGGGAATCACAATTTTCGAGTCAATTCAAGGATATTGCTACAATAGTCATGCAGAAGACAATCAACCCTGAAACTCAGTATCCATATACCATAAGCATGATTGAACGCCTAATGCATGAAGTACACTTTGCTGTTGACCCGCATAGTAGCTCAAAAAAACAAGTAAGGATAAATTCTGGCTTTTCTTTTTCCCTGTATCATACTCCTGCAGTCCTGCATTATAGTAAATAATTTTCTGCTGTGCCCACTATGTCAATTATTTGGTTTCACTATATTTTAATTTTGTTATAACACCGTTTGTGTTAAGCTTCTCTCTCATTTTTTCCGTGTCATAGAATATACTTTCCAATTACTTTCACACTTTCTGTACTTGTTCATTTACCAAGAATCAGCAGCTTATTTTTTGTTAAATATATGTTGGACTCTTATGCTCCACAGGCACTGGAGGTCATCCGTGAGCTTCAAAAGCATTATCCGATTAAACGGGCTCCAATGAGGTTACGCCTGACCATACCAGTACACCACAACACTTCCATATTGGAGAAACTTAAGGAGTGGAATGTTGGTGTTATTTCAAGAGAAGAAGCTGCAAGTCAGCTTTCTATTGTAAGTGGCTAATGCATGTTTCCTCGCATTCCATTTAGCATAATGCTTTCATCAAGTCAAATGTTTGGGCTTTAACTTTAACTCTAAATGTCCATCTTGGGGGGCGTTTGGGTAAGCTTGCTTGAGTGAGTTACTGAGTTTTGAAAGGTTATCTTGTGCACAGTATTATAGTAGGAATGTGCACTATCTCTGTTTTGCTACAATATTGGGATTGTTGCATTGATCTTAACAGTAATTTCAAGATATCAAAAAGAAATTTTAAAAGTTACAACACCAAAGGGTATATACTTAATCCTATGAATGACCAAGGATTAAATCCGGCCATAACGATTCTCATTAAAAAGATCCTATGAAGCTAATATGATGACATTGTATGCAAGCCCACTTACTTACATGGAAATATAACATTACCATAGTGCACACATAAATTGAAGTATTGAACCAACAAAATTATATAACATGAGTCATACTCATGCTATCACTGTAATTTTATAACTTGAGTTAAAGACCGGCTTATCATTTTTTTGCAAGCAACTACTGCCATACTGGTAGTAGTCTATCTGCCAACTAGCCGCCTTTCATATCCCCTAATCCATAATTTATACTTGACTATATATATTTGTGTGTGTGTAGGCAATTGTACAGACAATCTATTCTTTTATTTCTGAATCCATCTTATTAATATTCTTTCACCTATTTGTTGTATTCTAATTTAACATTGTGTGGTACCACTTGTATGTTAATCATCATTGGTACAGATTTGTGATATAGAACCACACCTTTTTCGAGATTGTGATGCCTTGGTAAGGGATTTTCAAGGGAGGTTGGAAATCATTGCAGCTAACATAAATGTCGAAGGCGACACACTTGTGGATCAGTATGATGATCATGAGGATGAGCCATCAAGCCTGAGTGAAAAGATGCAAAAGCACACGATCACTTCTGAGATTGAAAATCCCAAGGGAGAGAAAAAGCAGAACAAGTCAACAAAGAGTAGTGGGAGCACAGAAGGAGAAGGGAAACTGAACAAGTGCAGCACATGCAATGCATCGATTGGAGATGCAAAAGAGTACAGGGAGCACTTCAAGAGTGAGTGGCACAAACACAACCTGAAGCGGAAGACTAGGCAGCTTCCTCCTCTCACTGCTGAAGAGTGTATATCTGAAGTGGAACTTAGTGACTCAAAGGATGACCTGAAGGAATATTCATTTTGAGAGGTGGGTACAAGATTCTTAGGTTGCAAGCATCACAGTAATATGGTCTGTAATGTTGGTGGGTCACATTTCTGGGGTTTTTGTCTTTTGAATCTGAAATATGCAGTGTTACGTACTTGCATCATAATTTTTCAGAGCGTGATGAATTTTTTAGTTTTAACTGAAGGAGCGTGATATACTATTGGTGGTTTTGTTCGCACATGTCCCAGTGTTGGTTACTTGCTGTTGCTGGTGCCAGGTGAAATGCATTGTAGAATACTTTAAGCTCTATTTTTTATCACCTGCATTATCCCATTAAGATACTGTAAATAATTAGTTTTGTAAAAACTCTTTTAATCCAATTTAGGGGATACTCAATCATATCCACTCCATGGGTTTTTATTGGTTGCCATCTCAAGAACTGTAAAACCTCCTAATCCATGTGTACATATCCACTTCTGCTGCAATTCAAGTCGAAATTTGGCTGTCCCAGTAGTGGGTGATGGGTGGCGTTCAGTGAAAACTGCAATGAAAGTGTGCTGGGTCTTTCATTTGCAAAATTGTTTAAGTTGCTCTGTGGGAATTGGGGGATACATCGGAACTACTGGGAGCTGGTATTCATATGCATGATGTGCATATATGTTTTTGCCAAACAGACAAAGTTTGCAAAATTATTAGAACGTAGTCATGGACCTGGGCCGGGCCCGGCCGGGCTTTTTTTTGGGAAGGCCCGGGACGGGCCTGGGTAGCCACCGGGCCCGGGCCGGGCCTCCGGTTTGGTCTTTTTTTTTTTTTTGCTTTCCTAACCCCCCCTCACCCCCCAAACCCCCCAAACCCCTCCTAACCATCAAGCCCAACCCGGGTGGAACCCACAAAATGAAAAAAAAAAAATTCAATTTGGCCCGGACCCGGGCCCGGACCCGAGAACCGGGCCGGTTCCGGGCCCGCACAGTAGCGGGCCGGGCGGCCCGAACTGGGTCCATGACTATTAGAACGGAGTAAGGAATCAATTTCATATTCACGATTCAAAACTTCAAATGCCTATTTGACTATATGAGAGAGGCATTTAAACCAAACATCAGAGGCCATGGGGGCAGCAGGAAGCTCGACTCTACCTTTCTCCCGAACTTCTGTGCATCTGCATTTTTCCCGTAAAACTTACCGATTCGCATCTTCAATTAGTGGTGGCCCGGCCCCGGCCCGGTTCTGGTTCGGGCTTAGGCCCGGCCGGGCCTAGAAGGTCTTGGGTAAGGACCGGAACCGGCCCGGTAGGCTCCCGGTTCCGGGCCGGGCCCGGTTAAGTTTTTTCTTTTTTCTTTTTTCTTTTTGTATTTTATTATTTATTTCAAGCCCTACCCCCCATCCCCCTGCCCACCCCCAAACCCCTCAGAATCTCCCAGCCCAGCCCACCTAAACCCAGCCCAAACCCCCAAAAAAAGAGGCCCGAACCGGGCCTGAACTGGCCGGGCCGGTTCACCTTTTTTCTTGCACCGGAACCGGTTTTCCGGGCCGGTCGGACCGGATTGGGTCCACCACTACCTTCAACTAGTTTTTCATTCCCAAAAAACTTGTGTAGCTAATTAGCATTCCTAGTTGACAAGGTCGTCAATTTGATCGAGTGCGTATTTTTAATTGACCAACCTCATTACATGTTTGGTTTCACATGAACCGTTTGCACCAACATATCTTGTTCAGCAGTGATTGTGTAGATTAAAAACTGATACGGAGTACATAATTATTTGGGGAGTGATTTTATGGTTGACAGATCAAATATTTTTCTGTGATGGTTTGGCATTGCTCTATCTACTGAGATGATTTAATGTATACTTAGTATATTTATTTATTCATTCAATAATTTAGATATAAAAACGTATCAATAGCATTAAAACATTAGTTTAGATATCATTTGTGTTTTAAATTACAACAAACGTGTGATTGTGTATTTACCTTTTAATTTATGAATATCAAAATGCACTGATACTTTTAGAAGCTAAACGTTCAAGCATCACTTACTCTTCATTTTTTTTTGTTTCATTATTATAACTTATGCTTACCTTTTTTCTTAACTCTATTTTTACCCTTTCTACTAGCTACCTTTTGAGAGCTCAAAAATAAAATTGTAGGTCAGTAAATAGTTGTTAGAGAGCAGGAAGAGAATGGGGTGGGAACGGGCTTAGGCTCACTTTCGTGGGCCGGTTATGGGTTGTCGTTATAGTTTTATTTATTATTATTAAATTAAGGGACCACTTAAATTAATGTTATGTTTTAGTTTGGGCCTATTATTAGTAGAATACTTAGTAGAGTTAGTATGGGCTTAATTAAGATTTAATTAATTTGGGCTTGATTAGGGTTTCTCTCAGAAGGCTATTTATACCACTTGCCGGGGTTCATTCTTGCTTATCTTGGAATAAAATTGGTTTTAGTCTTGGTTCTGTGCAACGGTACTTTTATCATTGATTATTTGGACAACGATTTACCATTTTTAATTTTCCGTCACACAACAATAGTACGGAGTACTACGTATACAATTAGGGAAAGGTAAAAGAAATATACATACATGTAACTTGAAGCAATCAAAATTGCCAGAAAGTGTGGAGTAGTAAAACACTAAAAATAATTACTTTAAAATAGGAGTAAAATTGGCACCGCAATAACTAGTGGAATTTATTCTCATAAAATTGGTCAATCCCGGAAGCCATAGTACTACACTACTCTTCTTTCTCTTTACAAATCTTGACATTGGAGCCCGGCACCACTCCAAAACCGGAAGCGAGGCCGTTTGGAACCTTTTCGACTTATGAGGCTTATCAACCAACTTTTTCACTAAACACGTAATTTTTGTTTTCGCGCGCTGAAGTGTGTAATAAACAGAAAAAGTAAGGTTTGAGTTACTTTTCTGGCTGTTTGGGCTGAAGTTACTGTAGATGACCATTTTAGCTATTTTTACATATAAATTTTTCTTTATTTTATTAATAAAAAATATTTTAAAAATAATTTTTTCATAAATCAGCAGATTCAGTCAATGCAGCCACTTCAGCCAGAACTTCAAAAATTTCAACACAATCAGTCAAATCAGCCGATTTTCGTGCTACCTCTTAATCATATTCGTTTCTTCCTAGTTAATGTGACTTTCTGTGCACGTGGTATGCTTTGCGCTATGCAGAAGATGGCTATTGTTGACACTTGACATCAGAAGAAACAAGGCAGTGTCCTTTTTGAAGGGAGAAAAACATTAATTTAAGAAAAACATTAATTAGTGTTTTTAAAGTGACAACTTCTACCATAAAAAAAGTGACAACTTCTACTTAAAAAGTGTTTCTTAGCTTTTTTGTAAAAAGTGTTTTTTACTTTTTCTATTATACAAAAAACACTTATTTACCGAACACTATCAACTTTTACTTTTCAAAATCATTTTTTTCTCAAACACTATCAACTTTTACTGCTAATCACTTTTTCCAAAAACCACTTCCAAAAGTGCTTTTTCATTCCTATATTTCGCATGATATGTTTTGACACCCTCTTAGGATACTTGGCCAAGCTCTCTAGAAGTAAAACAAACTATTAAGTGTCTCAAAAAGGATATATACCAAAATTGCATCTAATGTGTAATTGACAAACCCCCACATCTCGATGATCCTTTTGTTCTAATTAAGTTGCATTTAATTGTGATTTGTTATTTTTTTAGCACCCCTCAGATTCAGGGTAGCTCATTAGGGGGTCCGTTTATCCACGTCTCAAATTGTCCAGTTTAGGCTTAGAGGGGCTTGTCAAGTGTTCGACATTCACTAAATTTGCAATATAGAGGAGTGAAAGGTAAAAAATGAAATTTACCCATAGGCCCTGTACTTGTCTCTTTGCTATAGCCTATAGTCAATCAAATCTTTCATGCTATTTACTACTTCTGATACTGTTAAACAGAAGGAAGGAAATTAGCAATAAGAAAATAACAAACGCTACTTAGTTATATATATACAAATATAGCGGTGCATTAAATGCGCTTCTGCTTCTGAGGTTTCCCGAGAACTCCATGGGTACGTCCTGGTTTGAGCAACTGCCGGATCTAGTAGAAAAGCCCATGTGAAGAGAATGGGCCGTATGGCAATGCTCGTGCGGGAACCGCTATCCTGAACTGGCTACATTGTCGACCGGCATGTATGCAATTTGGGCTTCCAAGTGTTGGGTGTGTTTCGGAAAATAAAGAAAAATAATTAAAATAAATTAATTAAATAAAATGACTAGCGAAAAACAAGAAATGAGATGAAGCAGAATTAGTCAAAGTTCGTGCTACGCACGATGTCCTTAAAACGTATTTGTTGCCTCCCACGGTGCTAGGAGCGTTGCAACAATCGTTTCCCAGGATACGATGACTAAGAACTAATGTTTGAGCACACAAACAAAAGTTCCAGCGAACGAGAACGAACACTCAGGAATTTTTCAGAGAGACTGGAGGTGTTTTTTGCTGAAGAAATACGTGAGCTCGGATTTGATTTGCACCCCGCGCGCGTGGAGAGAGCCTTTACCCTTAGGAATCTTAACTCCTTAAGGGGGGGTGCCTTTATAAAGGGTTGCAAATCTCTTGGGTTTTCTGGTGTGGGAAATTAACGCACTAGAAACCCATCCTTTTTCCCTTCTAACGGGTAAACTTCGAAAAACAATTTCTCATTCACCCGTTATCCGTTTTGAGCGTACCATATATCGAATTGTAGCCCTAAGCAAGGACAATCCGAAATCACTTTGACCCGACCCAAATCGGAAGTGGACCCACTCAAAAAATTGCCCCAAAATAGCCATTTAATGCAATTTTTCACACATTTTTCCAACACCAAGGATAGTTGGGCTTGTATTGGGTCAAGGCCTAATATCCCAACAATTCGTATCTAACACGATGTAGTAGGTTCTTAAATACACGTTCACTTTGACGGGAACGAAAATGAAAATTGTGCAATTAATATTTAAAGAGAGCACAAGAAATAACACAAGTCGCGTTCCCTATCTTTAATTCAATTTTGCCAATTTCTTGATTTAGTATGTTAAATTTTCTTGATTTATTTGTACATTAAATTCTTACTTTAGCTTTAAATTAACAAGTATGAGGTCAATATTTCTTCTTTCTCCTCTACGCAACTCTTATTCACACAAACTTTTACTTTATTATCCAACATATAGTCAAATTTTGTCAAGTTTTATAAGACAATGTACACTTTTTTTAAGAGGTGATGACGTAATTTCGAAAACGTAGACTAAAAGTGCACAAATTGTTTCTAGACCACATAATATTTTTTTGCGAAAAAATAGATGTATTTATTTAACGAATAATAATTTAATGATCTAGGTTTTTGCACGATGTGAAGATTTTTTCGGCATTGCCTCGTGTGAGTCGCCATGAGAGGACCGCGCACGACTGAGCCCCCTTTAGGCTAGCCTTTAGGAATGACTTTGATGGAGATCTTGAAAATCAATGCAAGAAGATAACAGTAGAAATGGAAGAGG